AGTTGCCCCGCCGGTTCGTCTTCCACGTCAGCAGCTCCGCGAGGGGCACCTCGGCCGGCCGCTCCGCGTACGTCGGGTCGTCCGCGGGCGACAGCACCTGCAGCCAGCTGACGGGGAGCAGGTGCGTCGCGAGCGGGTGGTACGGCTCCGCCGGGTTCGGGTCGCTCGCGTCGTAGCCAAAGTACCGCAGCAGCGACAGGTTGGGCTGCGAGTTGGCGTGCACGAGCGTGATGGAGTTTGTGAGCGCGTAGTGCGGCGCGAGGTCGTCCTTGTGTGGCCGCTTGCGCGATGGGCGGGTTGTGGAGATGGCTTCGTCGGTGCCGTCGGCGTCGTCCGCGGTAGGCTCCTGTAGCGGTTCCTGCTCCGGTTGTTCCTCCTGGGTCTCTTGGCTCTCCTCGTCGCGATATAGAATTCCCATTCTCTCCGCCATGGCGGCTACCAACAGACCGCCAGTATCGTCCACCGCCAGCCACCGGCCTCCATGCGGCGTCGTCGCGCCCTCGACAGGCAGCCCGCCAAAATGCACATCCGCCCAGCACCCGACCAGCGCCAGTGATTCCAATCGCATTTCCAAGATTTTACCCGGGTCCTTGTCCTCGAGCATCCACTGCGCGAGCATGGGCACATCCAGCGGCAGGACCGTGAACTGGCGGACGTACTTCTTCTCCTTGAGCAGCTTGTACTTTGCCAGCGAATACGCCGTCTTCTGGTCAATGGCGGTGTGTCGCAGCAGCAGCTTGGCGACAATGTCGCGGCCGGCGCCGGCGCCCTTGCGCTTGAGCTCCTCAATCTCCTCCGTCGTCAGCGTCTGCCGCGCGCCCTCGTCAAACGTCTTGCGCGTGAGCACGGCGCCGTTGCCGCCCTCGGTGGGCTCCGCGTCGGCGAGCGCTAGCTCCTCGTTAACAGCCGCGGAGATGATGGCCTCGTCCACCTCGTCCGCGTCTTGGGGGGCGGGCTCCGCATCGGGCGTCGCGCTCGCGGCTTCGTCTTCGGCCGTCCTGTCGATGAGGGCGTCGGCGTGGAGCTCCGTGCCGGGCACCACGCGCAGCCGCGAAAAGGTCTCGCCCTCGCGCTTGTCTTGCACTTCGTAGGTGAGGTGGTACGGACGGTCGAGGAGCAGGTTGCTGGGGAAGGAGCCGTATTTGCCCAAGCTCACGGTCCTACCAGGGAGCCAGTTAGCCACGGACGCTCACCAGAGTAGACGCAGGAGCGGAGAGGACGTACGCGCTGGGCGTTATTTGTAAAATCTTGAAATTTCCATTCGGAAGCTTCAATGCCACCCAGGCATGGGGCTGTACCGTATTTCGTGGCATGCTTTGTGTGGTGTGGCGGCGATGTGTTGCAGTCAAAGTCGTGCCAGAAAAAGTTTCCCATTTCGATTTCCGTTGGCCCCACCCTGCGACACAGGCGACACAGAGCATATAAGTCAACAATGACGCGCCTGTCTGTTGCTAGCTGATCTATGCCAAAAGCAAAAATAAGTCGAAATATTGCGACTATACAAGAAGCCTGGAGGGAATGATTTTTTTCATCATGATTCATAACTGTCGTTGCGTCTAATGGTGCGTATAAGACTGTCCTGCTACTCGGGCTAATGAATTATAAACGTCTCTTCCACAGCGCCCTTGATCGTCAACGCCTCGCCATTCATCATCCCGTGCACATAGCACTCTCCAATGAGTATCCAGCCATCGTCACTTCGCGGCCCCCTTCGCCGCAGCAGAAATGGTGCCCTCCCACCATATAGAACCGTCACCGCATCTCCCGGCTCCATGGTCTCCGGACCCAGGACGAAATGGCCCTGCGCGGAGAGGCCTAGCCGCCTGTGCCTCGAAATCAGAGACGCCTCGTGCGACCACTTGTAAGCATCGCCTCCCCCGTTCAGTCCAAGCTCGCGGATCTCCGCCGACACCATGGGATCCGAGCGACGCGCGGTTCGGGCCAAGTATGACGCTGCGTTGGCTACGTGCTCTGAAGAGGGAACCGTAGCATGGTCGCGGTTGCCACTCATTCCGACGCCGGCGTTTGTCAGACACTGTGCCAATGCTAGGAACGGAGGCTCTCCGGTTGGGTAGTAGTTGCCGGCCGAGGGGTGGATGGGGGACTTTTGGCCGCATATTCGCTGCCAGAGCGCCACCATGGGATGCGTGGCGTCCTCGCGCTGTTTCCGGACGTGGAAGCTGTCTCCCCGAATCACCCACGATACAAGATTGACTGTATCCGTATGCTTGCCTTTGATGTGGAGCGTGAGTGTGCTCTTGTCGATGGTCAGTTGCGGCTTGGTGTTGCCGGCTGCCCTGTGTGGTGTATCGGGTGAGCCGAACAAATGATGCGCTCGTTGCCGCCAATCAGGGACCCACGAGGGCATATTATTCAGCTTAAACGACAATGCAGAAGGCACAGCTCCATCCGCGTTTGTGAGGATGGAATTCTGCCTGCTCCGCGACACCTCGGCGCCGTAGTGCGGGGCCGTCAGCATAATCAGCGACTCGGCGCCGTCGAGCCCGCGCATGGCGACATCGCAGTAGACGTCCTCGACAGAGCGGCCGTAGTCGGCGACGAGCCCGCGCAGCGCCGGGGTCGTGCTCGGCTTGCGCAGCGAAAAGTGGCCGAGAAAGGCAAAGACGCGGTCGCGCGGGTCCTCGGCGAGCATGTGCCGGGCGCGGTGCAGCTCGTAGACGAAGTCGCCCCGGCGGTGCTGCCGGCTGAGCACGGCCTCGGGCGGCTCCTCGAAGCGGCGGTGCAGGTAGCGGATGTTGGGCGTCATGACGGCGAAGCGCGCGCGGAGGTGGTGGTAGCGCTCGTTGAGCACGGCGACGACGCCGGACAGCACGTCCCAGCTCATTTCAGCCTCGCCCCAGAAGAGTGTCGCGGGTGTCCTGGTGCCGATTTCTTGGACAATCCATATGCGGTTGAACTAACGTTGGTAGTCAAAGTCAGCACATGTGCTTCACTTTATAGTCTGACAGCTACACACCCAGGGGAGAATCGCGAGCTTTGCAAACGGCTTCCACAGCGCCACGTCTTGCAGATGCAAGTTCTCCGAATGCGCTTTTCGAAACTCGTCATGGGCTTCCTCATCAGAGAATACTTTCTGCAAGTCCTCTACCATCTTGACCGCATCCTGGGCCTTGCTCTCGTCGTCGCGCCCCAGCCAGACGAGTACCCGCCGCGCGCTCCTGTATACACTGTTCATCAAGTTGACCTGCTGGCTGCGCTCCTCAATGTCGTCCTGGTTAATGCAGACCTGGTCGGCCCAGAGCCTGCGCGGCCGGTCCTCGAGCCGCACACGCCGCAGGGCGTCGCAGATGCTCTCCGTAATGGGCAGTACACGGTCATCCCCACAGCGCAGCTCCTGCAGGCGCTTGCGGCTCCCCCATACATAAGAGACGGCCTCAAAGTCGATCGCGGACGCCTCCGCCGCATCCTCCAGCAACTCGGTGCTCAGGTCACCGCGGAGCGACTCCTCTCTGCTGCGCGCCGGGTGCAGCGTCAGGATGCGGATGCTGCGCGCGTCGCGGAAGGGCTCATATTCGTACAAACGCCGGGAGCCAGTCTCGGCGGTGAAGCCGGTCATAGAAGGCACGCTCTTGCGCGGTTCTTTGTGGCGCTGAAACAGGTAGGTACTATGACTTTACTTTCGTAAGTACCTGATTTCGAGTAGAGAGGAGCATTTGTGGGAGCAGACGGCACAATAAATGGTCGTGATCATGGTTTTGTTTTAATTGAGTGGGATGTGGAGACAAGATGGGCGGGCATCGCGCACTACTTTCCGTAATAATAACCGTTGCCTTTTTTTAGCTTGAGCTAAAACGATGATGCTCCCTCTCTCGTCTTTAGCTTTAGATTGGAGCATTTCAACTTTTCGCACCTCGAAACTTAGCAATGTGTAGGTAGACATTTCAGCTTCGATTGAGACACGGGCCGATCTCTTCAGTCGCAAAATTTTAGAGCGTGTCGTCCCCGCACTGCACCACAATCCGACAATCAGGCCACTACACAGACGGAGCGAATCTGAATATTTGTGAGCCGGAAACCAGGCCGATCTTCTTGCAACTACTAATCATCTGCATCAGCTGCGGTCTGCCAATTTTGGTGACACGGTCTGGCTGTGAAATAGGGGCAGATGTGATAAACAACAAGGCTTTACAATGGCGTTGCTTTTTTCCCTCCTTTCAGAGCCTGCACATCCGGCCGCCTGCGCTAACTAGCCAATAAATCTATCGATTTGCCAGCCTTATTCCCAATACAATAGTACTTCCGAGACATGCTTTCTCAGGCTTGCATGATGTCCGCCGTTGCGTTGCCCCCCGCATCTTTCAGCTTCCGAGGGGGTCTTCTGCTGCAACTCAGTCTTTTTTTTCATTCTGCCTCTTTGAGAAACACGAAAAGAAACAAGAGTCTCCAATTCCTCTCATTACTTCAGAATTATGATATCAGCGTCGAAAGGCGAACTGCAAAATGTCCTCATTCTGGAGACGGAGCTGGCTGGCGACCGAAGCGCCAGCCTAACGCCAGAGCAGAGCAAGCGCCTGCTGCGCAAAATTGATCTTTAGTAAGTGCGATGCTCAAGATATCTCGAAAAGGGCCCGTCGCTCAATGATCCCCCGTAGCCTTTTGCCAATCATGACGCTCTGTTTTTGCTTCCACCTCATGGATAAGCTCGCCTTGTCTTACACCTCGATTCTCGGTATCCGTGAGGATCTGCGGCTGAGCTCCAGCGACTACTCCTGGGCGAGCGGCATCTACTACTTCGGATACCTGGCGGCTTCCTATCCTGCGGCAGCCCTGATGGTTCGTCTGCCCGTAGCAAAACTAATTGCCGGTTCGCTGTAAGTTGCATCGGTCCGTGGTGAAGGGTCGCGGCGGGCTAATAAACGGCTGCTTTCAACGAAGATTCACTTGGGGCAGCATTGCCATGTTTACAGTCTTGTGCCGCGATGCCACCGGGCTGCTCATCAACCGCTTCTTCCTGGGTGTAGCCGAGGCCCCCCTCACTGCTGGCCTGACTATCATTGTGGCCATGTGGTACACGCGTGACGAGCAGCCTTTTCGACAGTCGATATGGTATTTGGGGGGAAGCGTCGGAACTCTGATTGGCAGCTTTGTCGGACTAGGTGTGCATAATCTTCATGCATTTTCCCCTTGGAAGGTGCGTCAAGGCCCGAACAACGGAAGCCCCCAAATTGGAAACTAAAATTGCCATGCATGCGTAGGCACTCTATCTTATTCTCGGAGCTTCCACCGTTGCTGCGTCGGTGCTTGTCTTTTACTTGCTCCCAGATGTACCATCCTCGGCCTGGTTCCTCTCCAAAGAAGAACGCATCTTGGCCATTGCCAGAGTCAGCGACAATCTGACGGGCATCAAGACGGCAAACTTCAGTTGGTCTCAGCTACGTGAAGCCCTTTGTGACGTGCATACCTGGCTGCTCGTTCTGAACCAGCTGGCCCTAAACATTCCGAACGGAGGACTTCATCCCGTAAGCAGCGTGTAATAAAGCCATATATTGAACTGTTGGGCGGAACAATGCTCGTCCAGCTCCAATTCCGGCTTTCTGTTTCTACTTGCTAACACATGATAGTTTTTAAACATTTTCCTCCGGGGCACCGGCTTTACCGAGCGCGAGGTCTTTCTTCTCAATGCCTGCCAGTTTCCCATCATCTTCTTCATGAAGCTGTACGTCGGCTGGGCCAGCACGCACTACAAAAACACGCGCATCTTTTGGATGATTGTCTGCCTCGTCATAAGCGCGTTTGGCATCCTTCTCATGCGCGAGCTACCTCCGCACTTGAAATGGGGTCGCTGGGCCGGCGCCGTGCTGACGGACATGTACACGGCCAACTATGGACTGCTGGCCGCGCTCACGTCCGGCAACTTTGCCGGCTTCACAAAGAAGTCTGTGGCGGCTGCTATGGTATGCATTCTATTTGAGGGTTGAGAGGTGTGTACGCTAACTCTATCTCGACTAGATATTCGCCGCTGGATGCGCGGGAAGCATCATCGGTCCGCAACTCTACAGCGGCTCAGAGGCGCCTGCGTATCCGACGGGGTACCTCGCCATGCTCATATGCGTTGTTGCTACAATTTTTATATCTGTCATAATGCTAGTGTACACCTTGTGGGAGAACAAGCGGCGCGATGAAGCAAGCTGTGACACAGACACGGCGACGAATGATGCGACGAGTGATGCGACGGACATGATGGCTGGTATCGTGGCCAACTTATCCGACAAAACGGACAGGGAGCTTGTCAGATTTAGATACATCTATTAAGCCAACACTTCGGAGCCTACAGTGGTAGCGAAAGTCGTCAAATTTAGGGAAACGAATATCGGGAATGCACAATTAGTGCCTCAGTAGTCCTCAATCCGTCTCGTAGGTGGACGGACATGCCGAGACATGTAGGTAACGCTCTAGGTTGCCGCATCTACACATAAAGGCGCTGTCACTAAAGGGACTATGTTTCTGGTACGCTCACGGCTCTCTGGGTGATTTAAAATATCCTGCAATTTGTTTCTAACCCCGATTTTAGCTGTGGATTCATGGCTCATGACCTTGCGCCAGCAACTTGTAGAAGCCAAGGCTGACTCACCAGCGTTTGCCCCTGGACCGCCGGACGAGGCGAGGCCCTCGAGACCACAAGGACAGTGAGCACCAGAAGGGTGCAAGAAGTCTATATTGAACTCGAAGCTGACTGGCTTGGGCGTGTTTGACCAGCTTCGCCAGTAACTGATGTACGGGGAAAAAAGGGAACTACACGGCAGCTTCACCTTGAGGTCACTCTTGCTACATGACTTTGATGGAAAGGCTGGACTACAAGAAGCAGTGGTTTTAAGTTTCATAATTACAGTGAATAGGCAGTTTTTAACACACGGGGGGGGGGGCAGGGTCTGACTGTTGAAATGGGTTGTGTGAACTGACCGAGGCCTCGAGCCCAACAGAAGCCAGCAGCTACAGCATGATGAATCGCCTTGGAAACAACAAAGATCTTGCATGTAATGCATCACACGGAACCTACAGTATCGCTCTAGTATATTTAACATGTGATGCTGTTGAGAAAACAATAGAGGGTTGGTTGGGTAGTCGGCGCAGGTGGATTTCCTTTACTGTTGCACAACTTTGTTGGGGATGTCTCTTTCATGCACGGGGAAGCATACGACGCGTGTTGAGGCATTGAGCTACCGAATAAGCCATTTTGTACGGCGTTTTTTGCCAGAAGATCTCCTCGGCCCTTTTCCCCTGCCCAACAGTCTAGTTTCCGTTCCCTCAACCAACACTCTGGTCAATAACGGACAACTCCTGCGTGACAGCCTTAACCCCCGGCCCCCGCTCTCCGTTTTGACTGATAGAGTTGACTTTTCTCGAGTTTCGACTATTGGCTTTGACTTCCTGCGATTTATGACTTGCAACTTGACAACGGCCGTCTCTGTTGGCCCATCCACAGCAAATGTCCTCCAATGCCGACCCAGCTCAGGCTGAAGCGAAACCCCACGCTGCCTCTCCCCAGGAGCAGAGCAATGTCCCAGCTACGGAGACCATTGCCTCGCCTCGCGCCGGCTATCGCTTCTGGCTGGCCTTTTGGTCCATCGCGCTGACCAATCTGGCCGCGGCCTTTGACGCCACCACGCTGTCCGTCGCCTTGCCGGTACGACCGCCTCAACCCTAACCGTCAACTATATAATCGATTACTCATCGCTTTGCAGAAAATATCCAGCGACCTGGGCGGATCGTCGACGGAAGCCTTCTGGGGCGGGACGTCCTACCTGCTGGCGACGACGGCCACGATGCTGATCTGGGTCAGCGTCAGCGATGCGGTGGGCCGGCGCATCGCGATCCTCACTGCGCTTGTGCTCTTTGCAGCCGGCGCCGTCATATGCGCCGTGGCTGCCGACTGGGCCACCATGCTAGCCGGGCGCACGGTGCAGGGCGTGGGCGGCGGCGGCGTGGTCGGCCTCACCGTGGTGCTCATCACGGACCTGGTGCCGCTTCGCCGCCGCGGCAAGCTGTACGCCCTGATCAGCGTGGTGTGGGCGGTGGGCAGCCCAATCGGGCCCATCATCGGCGGCGCGCTGAGCCAGGCCGGCGCCTGGCGATGGATCTTCTGGATGAACCTGCCCATCATCGCCGTGAGCATGGCGGGCATCGCCGTCTTCCTGCGGCTGTCGCACCGCCGGCGCACCGTCGCAGAGGCACTGCGGTGCTTTGACGGCCCCGGCTCCGTGCTGTTCGTGGCGTCGGCCACGGCGCTCATCATGCCCATCACATGGGGCGGCACGCAGTATCCCTGGTCGAGCTGGCAGACGCTGGTGCCGCTGCTGCTGGGCGTGCTGGGCATCGCCGGCTTTGGCTGGTACGAGAAGTGGTCGCAGGCGCGATGCCCGGACAAGGCGCTGCTGGTGCCGCCGGGCATCTTCTCCAACTACTCGGTGCTGCTCCTCCTGGCGAGCAGCACCGTGCACGGGCTGGTGCTGTACAGCTTCGTCTACTACATGCCCGAGTACTTCCAGGCCGTCAAGCTCTACTCGCCCGTCATCTCCGGCGTCGCGGCGCTGCCCCAGACCGTCACCATTGTTCCCTGCGCGGCCCTTGTTGGCGTCGTCGTCGGGCTCACGGGTCGGTACCGGTGGGCCGTTTGGGCCGGCTGGCTACTCGTCAGCGGCGGATGCGGTCTGCTGGTCCTGCTCGATGCCCATACCAGCGTCGCGCAGTGGATATTCCTACAGGTTGTCTCGGGACTGGGCCTCGGGCTACTCTTCCCGTCCCTCTCGCTGGCAGTCCAGGCGTCGGTTCCCGAGAGCACCGTCAGCACGGCCGCGACGCTGGTTCTCTTCTTTCGATCGATGGGCCAGGCGCTGGGCGTTGCCGTTGGCGGCGCCATTTTGGAGAACCAGCTGCGGATGCGCTGGGAAAATATACCGGGCCACGCATCGCATGGCAGCGGAGGCAAGCCGGGAGATGTCATGGCGCTGGCATCGCTGCTGAAGCAGCTCCCGCGCGACGACGGCTTTGCTGTGCAAGCGCGAGATGCACTGGCGGCGTCTTTCCAGGTCATCTGGATTGCTGCTTCCGCTCTTTCTGGCGCTTGCTTTTTGGCTATGCTGCTGCTGAAGGAATATGATATGAATCGAGCGCACCTCAGCACCCAAAGATTCGAGCATAGCGAAATCGAGCAGGCAACGCCTAAGACGAGCGCCTGATACCGCGGCACTCTAAGTTACTCTCGTAGAGTAGACGGAAATTCAATTCTAATAGCATCTATAGCTTCTTACAGTTTTATAATAGTATAGTGTGTGCGATCATTTAATTGCTCTCCCTTTCGTTGTTAGTACAGTGAGAGAGGTTTCACGACCTAGTATACTACATCTTAAAACAAATGCTATAAATCCGCCCTGCTAACTACAGTCTGCTCTGAGGCTTGCAACTTTTCGTTTGCCAAAAATCATCAACTGCTTTCCAGTACTTCTCCGAGTGATTGCGGATTATCGCACAGTGTGCGCTCTCAGTGAATCGGACCCCTGTTACTGGGTATTCCGAGACGGACCTCGCTGCCTCCAGATGAGTCTCAACATCTTGCCACTGTACCATTTGATCCTCTGAAGAATACAAGTATAGTCGTCTAGCAGTAGTTCCGAATACGCCTGGATCGTTGAGCTCTCGCCGCATATCTGCAACAGAGTTGATGGCGCCGACGTGCTGTAGGAGGGTAAAGGTGCCGATAAAAGGAACAAGAAGCATCTTGCCAATCGCTTGCATCAACAATGCATCTGGGAGCGATGCTGCTGCCGCGTTGTACGCACGGTCAAAGGAGCCGTCCCCTGGGCAGCAGTCAAATATGATGCCGTAAAGATGACTGGCAAAGTCAAGGGTATCGTCGAGAACTGGTTCGCTCTGGAAAGAGTGTATCAATTGCAAGGCGGTATTACATCCGCCATGGGAGAAGATGTGGAACAGGATAGATGGAGCGCCATTGTCAGGGAGCGCTGACACTATGCGCCGAATGGTATCTCTTGCCGGCTGCAAGCGAGCATGCAGAGCAGACACAGGTCGGACGGTGATGTCGGCGATTTTGGTTGTCAGGACAAGTATGGCAGATTTTGAGTAGAGCTCGCGATAGCCTGCAACGTACTTGCTGATTCGTCGCGGCGTCGCTCCTCCGAGCCATGTGCTGAGGATAATGAGGGCGGGATGTGATCCTCTTGGCTGCGCGGGGGGTTCGTGGAGGTAGATACCCGAGCCAATGGAGACAGCTAGGTCCAAGCTCGGATGTAATGTGGCAGGCTGCATAGGTTGCTGCTTTGGAACAAAATTTTTAATAGAAGATAGAAGATAGCAGACGCAAGAAGGCAAGAATGAATGGTACCAGAAGCGCTGCCATGAGAATGTCTATGGCCTAACATGTGTGGCTATAGTTTGTTTATATCACGTGCATAGCACTACTTAGGGCTATAAGCCACCTACACAGCAACTAGGGAATATATTATTATCTTACTAAACTCTTATACCTAATAAAATAGTAATAATACTAGTAGGATTATTAAAGACTATTAAAATTTATTAAATTTAAAGCTCTTATTAATAGTAATATTTATTTTTATTTTTCTTTTTTCTTTTTTACCTATAATTAGCTATAGCTAATATACTAAACTATATCCCTTCTTAATTTAATCTAAACTATATCCCCCCCCTCTTTAATATTAATATTATAAAAGTAAATTTAGCTAAGCTAATTAACTTAAATATTAACTAAAATATACTAATTTTAATAAACTAAGTAGTATATTAATATTAAACTATTATATATAGAAATAAATAAAGGTTATTTAGCCTATATTATAAGCTAACTAGCTTATATTATATATATATAAAACTAGATAGATAAGTAAGAAGAGACTTCTTTTAACTTAGATATAGTATATACTATTTTAAAAGTCTAAAGAACTTATATAAATATATATATATTTATAAGAAACTATATAGTCTTTATAAAATAGCTTATCTACTAAGCCTATATAAAGTTATTCCTAATAAAACCTAAATTATATTAAAAAGAAGAATAAATATAGTAAGAAGAGTAGGAAAGGTAAAAAGTAGGAGGATAAGTAATATAGATTTAAGTTATTAGCTTATTTAAAGAGTAAATATAGAAAGGGTAAGAGGAGGGAAGCTAAGCTTATATATTTAGCCTACTAAGTACCTTCTTAATATAAACCTATTTCTATTTAACCCCTTTATTAATATCCTTCTTAAACTTCTTAAATTTTATTATCTAGCTTAAAGAAATTAGCTTATCCTATTATATATAAATAGATATTAAATAGTAAATAACCTTAAATCTTTAAAGCTTATCCTATTATATATAAATAGATACTAAATAGTAAATAACCTTAAATCTTTAAGTAAGTTATTAATAAATAAACTAGATAGAGATAAGAAGTATACTCTTTTTAAGTAACCCTTAACTACCTATATAGGATATTAGTATACTCTTCCTAGTAGCCTTAGTATAGATAGTTATTATAATAGAAATAACCTTAGTATATTATTATAAGGAAATACTAGTAGTATTTATAGTAGTATTAGTAATAGCTAATAAGCTTAAGCTAACTAAGCTTTAAAAGAATAATATTAGTTTCTTTAATCTTAACCTTAGGTATTAAAATAAATAAAGAATTAGGTAGGTTATAAGGGTTAGTAAAGATCTAACCTTTATCTATATTTATATATTTATAAACTAACTTAAGTAGTATATTATTAGCTATAGTAAATAGTAAGTTAAGGATATTTAGGTAACCTATTTATATAGTAAAGCTACCTAATAGTATAATAGCTACCTTATTATAATAAACTAGTAATTACTTTATAATATATTTATAAAGGATATTTATATTAGTCTTATTAAAAGATAGTAAAAGTTAATAGTAAAAGCTACTAAAGACCTAATAAAGGCTTAATATACTTTAATAAATATATATAATAGCTATAATATTAAAATATATACTTTATAAGTATTAAGAAATATATAAACTTATAAATTAGGCTAGTAAGTATAGCTTTAAATAGTATATAACTCTTTTAACCTAATAATCTATAGTTTATTACTACTATTAGTATTAAATACTATAGCTTTATAACTTATAATAATATTATAAAAATAATAAGATATAATAAGAAATCTTATAAAGTAGAAATAGAATAATATACCTTATATACTATATTTAGATTAAATAGTATAGTACCTATCTAGGCTATATAATATCTATAACTAGTCTTATAATAAATAATAAAGATAGTAATAATTAAATAGCTATTAAGATAGCTAGTAATCCCTACCCTTAATATATATATAGTAAGGCTAAGGCTATATATAGTAATTATAAGATATAAGGAAAGCCTTATAAATAGCCCCCTCTAGACTATTCTATAGTAATATAGGTATTCTACCTTAAGCTATTAGTAGTATATAGAATATAAATAGCTTTAAAAAAAATAGTAATAACTATAGTAAATATAGGAATAATATATACTCTCTATATTATACTCCCTATTAGCTATATAACTAAAGAAAATATAATTAAAGTAATAAGCTATAGTAAATAGTAAGTATATACTAGTAAGATAAGGAAATAGAGGATTAAGGTATAACCTAAGGAGATAACTAGTCTATAGATATACTATTAAAGAAGGAAGAATATAGCCTAGTAGATTACTCTAATAATCTATAAGTTATAATAGTATATACCTTAACTAAAGAGCTAGAAGAGACTATTAATACCTACTTTATTACTATTATATAAGGTATAACTAAGTATTATATTTATAATTAAGCCTTTAGTTTTAATAATAATTTATATAAATATATATATATAGCTTATTTAAATATAGCTATTAGCTTAAATAATTAAGATTTTACTTATTTTAATATTCTTTATAATAACCCTCTTATAAGTATATATATTAAATATAATATAGTATTACTAACTATATATTATATCTTCTAGAATATATCTTCTAGATTATAACTACCCTTATAGATTATTTAAATAATAGTTATATATAGCCTAATAACTTAAGTACTATAAGGTTCTAGCTAGTTATATCTATATTTCTAAGTCTACCTAAACCTAAATATATTAGGTATACTCTATAATATATATACTAATATTAGCTTTAGTACTATACTAATAAATAAGAAATAGCTAGCTAAGAATTATCTTAACTTAACCCTATTTATAAAGGTATAACTAGTATAACTATATAATATAGAGTAAGCTTAGTATATAGTAATAAAGTATATATACTTTTTACTATATCTTCCTAGTATATATTAAGATAGTATATTAGCTATAATATATTAAATAATTAATATAACTATAATACTTAAGTTAAGAGTTAATATACTACTTAGTATAGATATATTAAGGCTACTATAAATAAATATATTAATTATATAGTAAAAAGTAATCTTATATAGCTATTAATATATAAGTATACTAATAAGTATATAAGCTTAAGTATAATATAGTATAGTAATAGTTAAAGCTAACTTATATATTATCTTAGTATTAAAAAAGACTATATTAATACTAGTTTAATATAATACTACTAAAGGTATTAAATAAGTATAATATATATATAAACCTTAAATAATACCTAGTATTATAGCCTTCTTTATTATAATATAATAAAATATATACTATATACTAGTATATAATAATTTACTAAAGTATATAAAGCTATATAAATATATAAGGCTTAAGTAACTATATCCTTTATACTTAAAAGCCTAGGTATATATTATTAAACTATAGTAAGCTAATTTAGTAATAAAGCTAATAGTAGTTAATAAAATAGAAAATAGTAAGTTTATTATAATACTAGAAGCCCTTAAGATAAATATAATTATATATCCTATTAGTATTAATATCTATTATAATAGCTTATAATAATAAAATATAGCTTTATATAGGCTAGTTATAAACTATATAGTACTTTTTAAAGATAAGGGCTTTACTATAGTACTTCTAAAGGAATATATATATATATACCTAAAGCTAGGCTAGGAAGAGATATTTTTATATTATTATAAAGTATACTTATAAGGTTTTAAAGAATAGAAGATTATCTAAATAATAGTTAATAATCTTATTACTAAAGGTAAGCTAGAATATATATATATATAGATACTATTTATATTCCCTATCTTTATTATTTAATAAGGGTAAGGTAATAAAAGGAAAGGTTATATAATAATAAATATAAAGCCTTTAAATAAATAGGCCTTAAGTAATATATACCCTATATAATAATAAGATACTATTATAAGTAAATTAGCCTATACTAAGTATATTACTATTATTAATATTATAATATTTTATTATTAATAGTAACTATATCTAGACTTAATATAGGTATTTATAATTATTATATATAAAGGCTAATATATATTCTAAGTATTTATTATAAGCTATAAGAATAATAATACCTATATATAGTAATATATAGATAAGATTTTAAGATAAACTAAGGGCTTATTATACTATAATAATATCTTTATAAGGTCTACTAGCTTTAAAGAATACTTATATTATATCTAAAAAGTTTTTTAAACCTTATTATATAATAATATATTAATTAGACTATAGAAATCCTATATTATATATATATTAGTTATTATACTTAAATAAATAGTTAATAGCCTTAGCCTTAGTATAATAAATAATAAACTAACTATAATATATAAGCTTAAATTTCCTATAATACTAAAGGAATTAAAAACACTCCTAGGCTTTACTAAAGCTTTAAGGTATAATATACTATACTATACTATAATTATAGAACTATTATAAGAATATAAAACCTAGCTATAGTAAGCTATAAAAGTATAAAAGATAATAACTATACTACTAGGTAAGGTATATTATATATAATAAGGCTAAACCTAATAGTAAACTTATAAAGACTAGGCTAGTTAAAATATATTATCCCTTTTAATATAAATAGAGCTATATAGCTTTAAGTAACTAAAAATAACTCTTATATAGTATTATACCTTAGTATACTTTACTATATATAGGTAGCTATTTTTTAATATTAATATAGTAAAGACTAATATTAAAGTTATAATATACTATATATAAAAAATAGCTTTAGTTAATATTACTAAAGATAGAAAAGTAGTAAGCTACTTATTATATATAGTAGTTAAACTAGTTATATTTCTTTTTTATATATTATTAAATAAGGAAAAGAGGTACTAAGCTATAAAAATAGAAGTATATAACTAT